GGATATAAAAGTGGAAACGACCACTTGTCCTAATTGCATGTGGCAACCGTAAAAGGAGGCCCATTGCCGGCCACTTGATACTAGGTAATCTGCTAAACCAACTACCAAGGTAGGCACCGGGTAATCTTCCATTGGATTGGTAGCGACTCACATGTGCAGTACCATGATATATGATTTGGCTTATTCATATGTCACCGTCCCTGTCTCTTTTGTGGTCTTGTGGACGATGGAATATGATTCTTTTCCCCCTTTGAGGAGTGTCCCCTTTTCTATTATGTACTCCCTCCGTCTCAAAATAAGTGTCTCAACTTTAGTATAACTTTGTTCTAAAGTTAATACAAAGTTGATACAATTATTTTGAAATGGAGGGAGTATTATACAGGGGACTAGCAGTTAGGATATATTGTAGTACATGATGTATTATGAATAGATCGAAACCCGTTGAAAACCTATGGAAATCAAAATAATTTACTAGGGTGAGAGTTCCAGGCATAACATGATTGAGCAGTGGCGTGAAAGCATCTTTGTAACACCCCGGCCACAGTCATGTTGTTTGTGACTATCACCTCGGATCTAGACTGGGCCCACAGACCAACATTAGTTTTTCTGTTCACTTTGTGTTTTCGGAAAAGAAGTGCACATGGTTAATCATTCTGACTTAATACGAATGATATACCATTCATATAAAAAAGGTGCACATTCTTTTTCGTAAGCTCATCTCCGAAGGACCTACTGGTTAAGCGTGCTTGGGATGGGGTAATTCATGACGTCCTGATATAATAGGGATGATAGACTACTCATATCAACAATGTGCACCTTTTTTCCAAAAGCTCGTCTCCAATGAATCTAAAAATTAAGTGTGCTTGCGTTATGGTAATTTGATAATGAGCGACTGGCCAGGAAGTGGGGCAGAAGGGGAATTTTTTCATTTGCATTGGCCATACCGTGCGAGGTGGAAGAAAAGCGGCGAACATACGGTTCTAAGAGGTTTCATCCAACAGCCCTCCTGCGACCGTTCCGGCTGCTTTCAACCGACATAGAGTGCTGCCCAATTTGGTTTGGATAGGCGATGGAAGAACCTTGTCGCTACTTGCTTTGCTTGTCTTTCTTTCTCTTCGCATCTCTACTCTTATGTTCCTTGTCACAAAAGCAAAATTTAGTTTCTCCTGCCAGACTAAATAGAAAGTGGTCCGAGATAGAATGTCGAAAGTGGCAGCCTTGAGCGCAAAGCTACGCCGGAAAGGTCTATTCAACCTACCATTGCAAGTATGGTAAGGGGTTTATATCCTTCTTTACATAGCATTTTGATCTATGGGAAGAAAAGAGACAATTAAAGAAAACCTCTCATGCAAGAGCTTGGCTCTATGGGTGCCCCTTGACAATTGTAATAAATACAATGAAATATAATGAGATAAGGTTTGAAAAAGTGGTAGTTAATAGTCAACCTTATAAACTATGTCAATATATGAGTGACTATAGATGATGCCTGTAAATGACATGGCAGCTGTATATAGCCATCAACTGGCTATATTATTAGCCATGCTCTTATGATATCAGCACATGAAAAATTTCTTGCTTTATATCACTAGGCTAACTAATATGGCCAAGCCATAATGAATAGCATCTCTGCTTATCACCAACAACTATCAAGTGCTGGAGTTTGAAAGAAAACTTTAAAATGTTTTCAACTAAAAATATCGGTTTTGCAGTACTTGTTGTTCGCGTGCGCCGACTCGCGCGTGTGCCCGTCAGTCACCCTGGGCCTGGAACCCGGCGAGGCCTTCACCGTTCGCAACATCGGCGCCATGGTCCCGTGCTACTGCAAGAACAAGCACACCGGCGTTGGATCGGCCATCGAATATGCCGTCTGTGCCCTCAAGGTTAAGGTCATCGTGGTGATTGGCCACAGCCGCTGTGGTGGAATCAAGGCTCTCCTCTCGCTCAAGGATGGGGAAGACGACTCCTTGTAAGTACATAGTTTGGATCTGAGTGATAATTTTCTTGGTCTGTTTCTGACCGGAGTTGTTTGGTTGGTTGGTATCAGCCACTTCGTTGAGGACTGGGTCAGGATTGGGTTCTCGGCCAAGAAGAAGGTGAAAGACGAGTGTTGTGACCTGCCTTTCGAGGACCAATGTGCCGTCTTGGAAAAGGTTCTTTGGCACCATTGGCCATTTTCCATTTTATACTACTTTACTTGCTTATGTAGTGTTGTAGTCGCTTACTTTCTTTTTACTCTGCATATAAGCTTTGTGTTGAGTCAAAAAAAATATAGTTCGACCAAGCGTGTAGGAAAAACTATTGACGTTAACATTATCAAATCAATATCAATAGATACATTAAGTAATTAATTTTCATATTGTACATCCTAAGTATTGTAGATCTTGTAAATTTGGTCAAACTTCATAAAATACATTAATCTTACATGCGAAAGAAAAATCAACCTGAGGGAGTAGTATTTATAGCAGCTAGCTTGTAATGTATGCTAATATTTTTGCATGTGAATGAATGGATTAACACCCTGAGAGAGAGATCTATCTTAATCGTTTTCATCCATAGGAGGCCGTCAACGTGTCCCTCCAGAACCTCAGCACCTACCCGTTCGTCAAGGAGGGTGTGGCCAATGGAACCCTCAAGCTAATCGGCGGCCACTACGACTTCGTCTCAGGAAAGTTTGACACATGGGAGCTGTAAATCAATCTTCCCTCCCTTTGCTCAAACGCGAAATATATATACATATGTACGAATATCAAGATATATCGATCCATCAAATGCCATGGAGTACCTACTCGTTATTCTCCAGTAGTTAATGCCAGATGGCTTGACGTCAATTTTTGTAATAAGCGATAGTATTTTCCGACGCAGAATTATTGTACTACTATGTGATGCATAATTTGATCGTCATATGATCAAAATACGTTAGACATTATTCTAATCATATTCTTCATCAAGAGTTTACCTTTCGATGTTTTGGCTTTGTTTTCCCTTGACACTGACAAATTGTTGTTTGCACCTCCATTGCTGCTCTTTTTATCACTATTAATTTAACCCAGTGATTGTACTTTCTTCGGCTTTCTGTGCTACCCAACTCTTTCTACACAACATGTCCTTCTCCTTTATTTATACAAGGCATTCATTCATTCCACTGCCAAGATTACTAGATGAGGAGATTGAGCTTTATCACTTTTTGTGAACTCATTGCATATACCCAACTCAGGACGAAAGACATCTGGACAAGACAATGTGTAACTGCGGTGCTCCCGAGAGAACCAAGCAGCAATATGCTATTTATTGCCATCATTTACCTCTTATATGGAAAGAGACGCAGTGCGATTGCACGCACAACCATCTTACACTCATGGTGGTGATCTGATGGCTAATCAGATGGTGGTTTGTCAGTGTAGATCAATGAAAATTTTGATGTGAATGCTCACCGTTGTTTTCCGTTGATAGCTATGGTGAGACATTCCTTTGCCTCCCTTGCTTCATACGTTGTGGTCCTCACTGACCTCGTCATGTGACCTGCGGTGTGCACCTAGCACTCTTCCATCTCCACGACCACCTTTTTGCACAGCCCGACGCATGGTGAAGAAGAAGAGATTTTTTTGCGGGGACGGATAAGATAAATTTTGCTCTGCATAGCGAGCTAGATCATAACTATGAAACTAAGAGTTTCATAATATTTTGTAGCCCAAATTGTTTATTTGATTCTCGATCTGTTTTTTGCCGTTGGCTTCATACTCGGCCAACCAACCAACTCGGAGAAAGCGGTTGGTGCTCAACACTATGGGACATGCCTATCCCTGAGAGGGTTTCTACTGCCTTGAGTTCGAAGACAACGAAGAGGAGGAGTTGGG